CCTATGATGACCTGGAGAAGTAATTAAAATTTACAAATATGTCTTTCTTTTTTGAGTTTATGATTATAACAACTATTTACTGATAAAAAATGAATATTAATTATGAATATAAGCTTATAAAGTATCTCTCTGGCCCTCCCTTACAAACAAATAAAATAAACTGTGTTTTTAAGTTCCACCTTTGAAAATTTGATTTCCGGAAACTTCTGTGATCAATGATTTTTTGAAACGTCTGGACCTTCGATCTCCGGAAACTTCCGGATCACTGTTAACGAAAAATCCGGAAATCCGGATTTTTCCGGAGCACAATCAGCCCTGTATATTGCAAAAAATTAATTTGCAGAGTGTTAATTATGGTTAAATATTGAAATTCAGAAAATAAAATTGCAAATATACCTAAAAACCATTTTTATTTAAAGTAATCTGATATTTTGTTTGTTTATTCATTTTTTTTAACTGTCAAGTCAACCAACAAAGTATGCACTGAATCCAAAGCACAAAAATGATTTTACTTTGTGAATGATGCTTCAACCACCCTCCACAGAAAAAATTCTCTTTCAGGTGTTAATGTGATACTTGTGGTCATTTCTGACTCATGATAAGTTTTTAACATGAAGGAAATGAATTCAGATAGGAATGTTACATCTGTGACTTAGAGAGATAAAAGAGGCAATTCTAAGAATCAAAGCTCTTGGTGTGGTCAGCAGTGAGTCTTCTCTTGTCAGAAAAGATGGACAAAATGACAAAAGATGATGAAATAAGATTTTTTACATTATTTAAACCAATAATAAATGGAGAAAATAAGGTTGAAATCTTTTGGGGGGAAATCATTTTACAGGGGTTTATTGCTTCAGAGAATATCGTAATATTGAGAGGAGCATGACATTAATTCATATGGAAGTTCGTCAGGACCATGAAACATCATCGTAATAAAGGGAGTTATTGTTCTATTGGATATCGCAGTAGTGAGAGTTCACTGTATATATATGTAACATCTAAAATACTAGCTTAATTAAATTAAAAGGATCTTGAAACTTAAAAAAATTATTAACTTAATAAAATTAAACTTAAAAAGAATTATATTTTATTTGCAGACAAGCTTTTCTGATTAGTGAGAACATTAAATAATCTCTTTCTCATAAGTAACTAAGCTCTTCGCGTATATATAAAGTTTCATTGAATAGCGATGAAATCTTTACTGATAAAATAAGTCCATACTGCACAGTAAAATATCTTAATGAAGCCGAATTCCCATTAAAATCAAGAATTATATGATCTCGTGGCGTCAATTCTAACAAAGAAGTTTGGATATTACAGATCACATGACATGAACGACTAATTATACGGTACACGTAAAAAAGTGCGCACTTATCTTTTGGAAATTGATACTGTAAACTTGTATCCAGGAGCTCTGCTCCATGTATATAATTCGTAAATAGATTTTCCTCAATAAATGATTCATAAAAAGTATGGATATATCCTTTCAAAAAATGACTGCAAATTAATAATCAGAAGAACAACTGTTAGAAAATTAACTTTCATCTATTATGATTAAATAAAAAACTCGGATCGAAAGTTATGCAGGAAATGCGAGAGGATGCATTACATATATATATATGGTCACAATAACTTACTTTCATATTGATTCTGTCAACCTGTACATTCTGTGAATCAATCTCATTGCCCATATCAAGTGCCATATTTTTTAGATTTCCAAGCACTGAACTCACTTGCTGCATATTTTCTTCCATTTCATCTTCTCTTGCATCATTTGTAATTCTACAAAATAACATTTGTTTAAAAGAAATGTAAATCTAAATGCAACTTTAAATAAAAAAATATATAGTGGATTTCATTAGCAGAAATTGACATACGATAAAATTATTTTTTGAAACTGCATTGTGTCTTCCTTGCAGATAACTAAATATTGCTTCAAAATTTAACGCAGTCATAATCTGAATCAACCATTAGGTTTCAAAAAAAATTAAATAAATAAAGCTGATTGGCAAAAGCTCACACCTCATGAAAATGTTCCAAAATTAGATTATATCTGAGTTAGTGTAATTGCGGAAGATTTAATTTATCGTGAAATTCGATTTGCTTTCCATACAACTGTGATAAAGCAAATTATCTTATTTTAATTTATGAAAATATCTTTCTAAGTTTTCTACATTTTAGGCGAGTTAAAATAATCACGATTATTGTTTGCAAATCTGAAAAAATATTTTGAATCATTGGATGAACTGAGGTCAATATTATATGCAACAAAATAGTTTTAATGGACTTTTTAACATTAAACCACCAATTAATTAAAAAATTTCTCGTGAAACCTGAAATCTCGTTAAATAAGAGCTCACAATAAACCAGTTAGATTGCATATTACAAAATATTATTTTAACACCACAAAAATGTAGTTTTTTAATCACACAACACTCATCTTTATAATGCTTTCTTTTAGAGCATCAAGCTTCAAATTATTCACAATTTATGCACGGATGACGATCTTCAACCACACAAACATGCTTGATAACATTGGTAAAAAAAAAAAATATTAAAAGCTTTTTTTTTTTCTAGAAGAAATGAGAAATAAATAACATGTTTAGATTTACATGATTAGTTAACAAAAATTTAAAAAAATAAAAAGCTTACTGTAAGACGAAAAAAAGTTAAATTTAAAAACAAAATTATTACAACACATGAACTTCTGCCCAAGTTTAAAATTGGATCGGTGAAAAATTCTTTTTCACTTTGCTACGAGAAAAAAGATTCTTTTACAATTTTAAAATTGGATAAGATAAGAAAAAATAATTAAAAAAAGATACCTGGAAACGAATGCACCACCAGTTGGACCTGCACCATTTCGGTTGTCAACTACTCGAGCAGGTTGTGAATTGATGATTTTTCCATCCTCATTGCTTCGCCAAGCGCGTGAATCATCACGGAAGTCTGCAGCTCTGTAATAAAGAAAATTAAAGAAATTTGCTTTCCATATACAAAAATATAGTGTGACAATCTCAGAGCAAAGGGAATCAGTTTCTTATATGCATTAGTTTTTGATGCTTTAACTGTGGACAAACTGCCACATTAACAACCTACAAAATTGCATTTTTAAACTGTAGGCCAGAAAATAAAAGGATTTTATCTGAAAATATTAGAAGTTTTCATTTTTTTGTAAATGTATGTTTTTGGGAATGCTGAATACCAATCCACATTTTGGAGCTCAAGAATTTTTCTGGTAGTATATTTTTCCAGGGGAAAAAAATCTAGTTTTTCACACATAACTCCTTAAGATAAAAATTTTCTGATATTATATTTGAAAACAAGAGAAAATTTCTTACACAATCTCAGTGGTGTACATAGATTTTGGTGCACAATCTGTAAAATGTATAGATGTACCCTATCTTAGACTTCACTCAATTGTTTTAAAATTACAACATGTAACAAAAACAATATAAAGATAGGTTCGTGTATTAATTATCATTCATTTTATTTTTACTTAAAAATTTAACGAATTTAAATTAATAAGGAATTGATAATTGTGATGGAAAGGCAAAATTTAGAAACAGAACTAAATTGGAACATAACATTCACTTACTACACGGAAATTTAATTCTTCTTAAGTGGACACCATACAGAGGAAGAAATTTTTCGTTGCAAATTCTCTTTTTCCTTCATTACAAATTTTAAAAAAGAGTATTCAAATAAACGTAGAGTAAGCCATGAAGTTTCAAATACTGAAAAGAAAATTTTAAACTATACAAATGAAAATAAATTAAGAGATGATAACTTAGGATTACGCAACGGAGAAGTTCTCTTCTCATAATGTGTTTGCATTTTAATATTTTGAAGTATTTTTTTCAGAAATTGAAACTTCATGACAACTCTAGGTTTGCCTGAACATACTTTTTCTTTCTTTCAAATTAGTAATGAGTAAAGAGTTTTCAATGAAAATTTTCTTCTGCGGTATGGCGCCTTCTTAATATGGGAAAATAACTCCCTATCTTACAATAATTATATTCAAAGTTTAACTAAGGATTATTATTATGAATAAAGTGAATTAAAAAAATATCTTATAAAAGAAAAAATATTCTTATTTTAATTCACAAAGAAAGGCTGCACAACCCTTACTTGAAAGAAGGGCAGCATGTCCAAGGCTTGTAAAGCCCTTATCCAGGGCTTACCTTAAAAGTACCTAGACATGATGACAGCAATTCTGGTAATTTAAATATAAGCATAAGAACTTCAGACACAACTCTTTTTACCGGTCAACTTAGTAAAATATTTGCACGAAATTAAATTTTTAAAAATTATTATACAGTGAAACCTCTTGGGAACAACCACTCTGGGTTACATAGAAAAATGGTCGTTAATGGAGGTTGGTCGTTTTTAGGGCATACCTGCCAACATTGGAGAAATAAAATAATGGAGATTTTACTAGCGGCATTATTTAGGCTACGAGTAAAGTTACGATACATCATGCATAATTATGTAAGTCTAAAAGAGAAATTCAAAATTGGAAATAATATAAGCACTTTATTAGCACTTAATCTAAAGAAGACTTTTTTACACTATTATTTATAATTACTTAAACTATAAACACTCAACATACTGTGGTACTGGCAATCGCACTATCTGAAGAGAAATATTTTTACCATCAGCGGATATTTTATCACCAATTTTTTTTTTTTTTTAATTCTTCAACAAATACGGAAAAATTTGAGAATATGCTGGTAAACAGGAGATAGTTGTAAAATAAAGAAGACTTGGCAGGTATGTTGAGGGTTACCTCTATCGACTTCAAAATGTTATCAAAGGTAAAGATTATTTTGCAAGCAAATTTAAATTTATTCAGTGTCATTTCCTTGGAGTGGAAACACCACTTGTGTTGATGTCCTGTAAACTGGATTGATGAATAAAATTTAGCATAAATAAAAATAACCTCCTCTGATATAACCGTGTAAAAACAAATTTACCAATTATGGAGGATAAAACTATTTCAAATAAAGACATAATGTTTTTTGCTTAAATTTGCAATTAAAATGAAAATCACAAATTGTTATAATACTGAATTAAAAGTATTATAACATATTAAAAATATCAATATTTTAGAAAACCTGTGTAAATGAGAAGCATTAACTGCTGAAAAAACGATTAAAAAATTCTTATATATGAGATGAAACTGGCACAATCTTCTTTCAATTTTAATTAAATATCAGTGTGTATTAGTTACTTTGCACAGGGACAAACACATAATCCACAACACTTTTCCATTCCAGTGAGATTCTTTTCGGCCTCCCTCATGTCTGTGTGAATGACATCCATATCCTCCTCGATTCTATCCAGTTGCTCTGAAATTAACAAAGTCATAAAAAATGAGTTATTTCAAAATCATTTTAAGACTTACGAGACATGTTAGATATACTGTTATAGGTCTAAGATATGGTTTTAAGTGCATCTTTTTAATAATTTGAGGATGAGTTTCGGAGCGAAGCCAGAGGGAGGAGGTGGAGTTACGAAATTTCGGAAATTTAAGCAAGTAGATTTTAACAAGTGATGAAGATACAGATACATGGCTACCCTTATAGCAAAAACTCTCCAGAATGGTGTTGCAGATTCTTTTTCATCTATGTTATATTTTTAAAAAGCAAACAAATGAATGTGGAGAAAAACGCATTTTAAAACATCTCTATACTTGTTTCAAATCAAATTATAAAGCTGAGTTGAGAGAATGTCCAAAGAACAGAAAGTAATGTTTTTTTTATAGAGTTTAACTTAAATTTAGACAACATTAAGTGGTTTCAAGAATCTCATAATTGCCACATGTATATTGGATTAGGCTAAATTTTTACGATGAAAATCACTATCTGACTGTGTTGAAGCTTTCAGTTAAATTTAGATATACTGAAGGTAGGTAGGTATTTTATTTACATCCCACTAAAGCTACGCAATGGGCTATTGGAGACAGCCTGAGAAACAACCCTGAGGATGATCTGAAGACATGCCATCGCAATTTTTGATCCTCCGCAGAGGGGATGGCTTCTCCCCTTTGGTAGCATGCACGTGAGGTAGAGCACCTTATGGTAGAATAGTTTAAAGAGGACGGATACTGCGCACCCTCTGCAGGTTGATCAAAGTGGTCACTCACCCGTACACTGACTTCAGCCAGTGATGCTTGACTTCAGTGTTTTAATGGGAACCGTGTGTTTACGATAAGTCCACCGGGGAACTAAATACAAAAAGATGGTGCTGCAGATTCAAAGCGTAAATTCTGCTTTTGTTTACAGTCTTTAGTCCGAACAAAGGTGAGAATGGAGATGTTTTTAAAAAAATTACAGAAAAGTAGGTGATGAAGCTATTACAATTTTATTGGTAATATGGCATATTATTTGCAGACAAAGTAGATGTATTAACATCCAGACAATTTTTAACAATTAAACTAACACTACAAAAAATACAATTTCAATCCACTCGATTCTATACGGTACCTTCTCATAGATGAAGGTCGGCATAGTCGATAACGACTTTTCCTACATTGGTGACCCGGGCGTGATGTGAACATGCCTCCCTAGACAGAAACTCCCACCTCGATATGAACATCTTTATCTTGACATTCATGCCCATTTCGATATGAATTCGCCTACTTAGATGGATGGTCCACATTAAACAGTTGACTTGCTAGTTGTGACTGCGACATTGTCCTCCTGCTTCTCAGTCTCGATAACACACAACGTATTCACTTGACTGCTAAAGGCAACACAGGAGTGTCCTCAACAGTGAACTTAATACTGCTCTCACGGCTTCTCACAAAACAGCAATGCATCAACTAGTGGTATCATTTCATCGAATTCTATCACAGATATAATTCTGGTGGGGGAGGACTGTAGTGTAAACTACCACAACAAAGAATACAATTCTAATTCCCTAGTATATAAGACATGTTAACTCGATTCTATGGTGGGGTACCTTTTCCTTGATGAAGGTTGACATGATCGATAACTACTTTCCCCACAAATTTGATCTTTTTTTTAAATGAAAAATTAATATAATCACCCAGGTAATTTGGCCCTCCGCTACAAAAACTTTTTGTTACACCCTTAACTATTTATAGTAACATTTAAAAAAGCAGAAAATTGTTTCTATTCTTAACATGAGTATAACTGAAAAAATGTTCATGTATTACATAATTTGCTTAATTGAGATATGCTAATTATTAAAATATCAATTTGATTTTTTTCTATATTGAAAATCAATATTAACTGTGAATTAATAAATGATAACTTACAACAGATGATACATGACAACTACCAATGATGTTTTTTAAAGTTAAACAGCCTGATGTGTATTATTATTATTTTTAATTTCTGAAAAAAGTTTTTTTCAAAAAATACTAAGATACATCTAATTATTTATATAGCATAGATATTACGTAAACAAATATGAAAAAAAGAAAATTGAATATACAAATATGAAAAAAATTGAATTGTAATTTGTTGTCAAAGAGTTTCTTACATTTCAGTCAATATTTTTTACTTTTTTTTATTGTTACAATAAAATGAAATTAACTCAAGGGGTGAAACATGATAATAATCTTACCCCCTTGGTCATTTAACATTGTTATAGTTTTCATGCCAACCGCTTCACTCTAAAAACAAAATAAAAAATACAAAAACAAATGAAAACTTATTGTGAAAAAAATCTATAAATAAATATAAACATAAACAGGCAAAATAATAAATAAATTAATATAAATTAATAAAAAAGGATAAAGAGTTGAAAAAAGTATTTTGTATGAGAATAAAGAATGAAACTAATTAGAATTCATGAAAAAAGAAATTTTGGGCAAAGCAAAATACTTGTTGATGACAATTATCCTACGAAACTTGAGCAATTAAGAGTATGTTGAAATAAAAGAAAAAGATACTTTTCTTTTGCTTTATTAAAGCAATGAAAAAAATACCTTAATTCAAAATTGTAATAATGAGAATGAATGAAATAAGAGGTGTATTATAAGTACAGCCCTGATAGTTTAGTCAGGAGATAAGTCAAAAGTGTGCACTCTTTAGTACGATGTTTACTTTTTGTGCATTTTTGAAATACCATAACTCAAGAACCTTTCAACCAAATCAAACTGCACATTATAAATTCACAACAAAATAATAGAATATAAATTTTTTATAAAAAAATAACATTTTAAAATGGTTGCAATAATATAAGAAAAAACTCAGTTTAAATTTTCAATTCTTAAGAACTAGCACATTTTTGTTCCAAATGGGAACTTCTAATTTTAGGTTTTGTCATTCAAAATTACTAAAATTTAAAATTAGAAAAAAAATTGTATACCTAATAATTGACCATTAAATAAAATTATTACATAGTTTTTACATGGGATTATCTTAGGGTAATCAAATGTTAAAATTTTTTTGCAAATAACTTGCAATTTGCTAAAAAAATATGAGAGATATTAGGAATACAAAAAAGCCATTGTTGTGATGATTGTTATATTAAATAATTTGGAGATTAACATTAAGGGATCTGATTTAAACTGCTCTCTCAGCTTAAAATTTTGCAAAATTTTTTAGATTAAAATTTTACCAATTGAAATTTTTTTTTAAACCATTAGTAAAAATTATATTTTGCACAGACTAATCTTTGGATAAATGAATTTTATAACTGTGTACAAACATTTTTGAATTTGTCTTAAGAGTTACTGAGATGGGGCAAAATACAATAAAATTAACGTCCAGGTTCAAACTTTCGACCCCCCACTCTGTTGACCAAAGTATTGAGAAGCATATTTTACAGATTACAGCTATTTTCATGGTCTAAAATTCAAATCAGTTAAAAAGAAAACCAGAAAAAGTATGTCCCGATGTCATAAGTTATGCACCAGCAAGCACTAATTAACTAGCATAGTTGGGGTCAACTTTTTGAGACCATAAGACTAGCAGTTAGTATGTGAAATTCTGATGATCAGAATAAAAGTTATTTAGTGTGATAGTTTTTGCTCCCATAACAATTTAAGGATATATGAAAAAAGTGATGCTTTTGAGTTCTAAAATTTATATGGTAAAGATATAACTGAATGTTGATTTCTGACAATTTGTTTTTTTAACAATTAAAATAAAGAAAAAAAAATTTTTTTTTTGAATTTAAAATTGAGAGAAAAATTAACATTTGGTTGATAAAAAGTAATTCTTTACATTTTGTAAGATCATAACAATCAGTACTTATGTTTTTAAGTAAACTATTAATAAGAACATTGAAAAATCAGAACAGTTATGGTAAAATTAAGCTTCTTACCTCCTTGCTCATCAAGAGCAACCAACGTTTGAATACCAGTATCCTTGCACTAGTAGCAGCATAATAAATAGTACACAGATATATGTTAAAACACAGTCTGTACTCAATTGAAAGCTTTTAAACTATTTTATTAAGAAGGGAAATATTTTCATATAAGAAGAACATATCATTTAAAAAAAAACTTTAAACAAGGAAGTAAATAAAATCAGACATGAAAGATACATGAATGTAAAACAGAATAAGATTTTCTGTAAATAACTGAAAATTCTCAGAAAAGCTCCTCATTTAAAGACTTTTCCCAAAATCTGATGCCTTGCATAAAAAGATAAAAACAAATGCAATAAAAAAAGGCAATGCATGTATAACACAAATCTTTTATGCAACAATATATACATGTTTTTGATTGACTTATCTAACATGAATAGTAACAGACAAAAAAATACAAAAAGAGCATAAGTTTTTTGGTAGTGGAAAAGCAAAAATAAGCTCTATTATATTTTTGAATGAAAGGCTGGAATCATTATTTAAAATGTTATTAAAAATTTTTTCTCAGAAAAACGCAAATCAGAAGTTTTGATGCTAAGTAATTTTTTTCTTTTTATAAGCGTGAAGTTAGGGATTGACAGGAAATAAAAAGCCTGTGAAATTCATTCAATGCGTTTAAGTAAAAAGATGAGGTCAATTCACACATTGGATTGACCTATATGCCGGAAAATATGGGATACAAACTAGAAATTATTTTAAATTAGAAAGTTCACGATAAGAAAATTTTTAACAGATAGCTAGTAACAAAAATTTTGTTTTAACCCACTGACGGTTTAGCAAATGGGCAAAATTGGTAGAATAATTCTCCCCAATACACTATTTCTCCATCTAATAACATGGAAAAACCGGTTTTGCTTAGAGGAGAAGACTGCGGGTTAAAGTACAACTTTTTATGTGCAGAACAGTCAGTGAGTTAATTTATATTACTCATTTAAATTTTAAAACAAACAATAAACTGGAAAAAAACCAGTACAATTGGCAGCTTTACATAGAGAAACAACTTTTAATAAACGAAAATAATAATTACTTCTTCAGCTAGTCTAACCATTCGCCGAGTGCTTTCTAGAGACTTGAAAGAAGAAAAAAAGAATAAACAGTGAGAAAAATAATTAGATACAAATTAAATACATATTCAGTAACATAATAGCTAACAAACAGACAATAAAACATGCACCATATTTTGTAAAAATAGGTTTTGTAGTGGTTCAAAATAAAATCAGGACAATAATCGACTAAATATATATATATNAGGCAAACAATTTTTATCAAAGAATGCATGGTCGAAAACAAAACGCAAAACCGCTAGAGGGCGTCAAAGTTTATGTTCTAATATGAGGCAAAAACACACAAAGAACGATGAAGTCAAGCTATAAAAGTAAATTTAATGGCATGTGCTTGCAATAAATGTTCAAAACAGTGGTCAGCAGCAGCTATGCACATAGTACAACGGTGAAGAAAAGATAAGCGAACATTCTGAAACACAAACTTTCCCTGCAGCGGAGGAAAGCTTGGCGACAAGTAACGCAGCGCAGTAACTCGTAACAGGAATGGAGCTTTTATGTTTGCATCAAACAACTTTCCAAATACGCCAGCACCTTTGCATTTTGTTTTTGACCATGCATTCTTTGATAAAAATTTTTTGCTTGGGTGTGTACTGTCACTTCCTAAAATTTTGCCCATCTTTTTAGATTCACTCTGTATATATATATATAATTCAGGAAATTTTTTGGCATGGTTTATAATTATGGCATTTTAAATACATACATATTAGATTATTTTAAAGAAGGGGCAACAAACAAATAAAAAAATAGCGCAATTAACAGCTATGAACATTCTATTTTGTGCGGCATATTTCTTTAAACTTAAAAAAAAATGGGTAACACTTCTTTAAAACCGACAAAGATTTGTAGTGTGTTGCTACTAATACCATCAAAAAATAAGTGAATTACCCCTAAATTGAATGGCTTTTATTAAAAACTTAATAATAATCACCAAAAAGCATTCTCTACAATTTGAAAATAGAATGCAATACAAGGTTACTTCATATTTTTAGACTATTAGCGAAAACTAAGAATTTTTATTTGATACCAAAATTACGCAAAATTAAAAGCAAGGAGGAGAAAAAAACTTTTTTTCACAAGACATTAATTCATTACACAGACAGAAGAATGACAAATTCAGATGAAAGAGGCGTGGGGCTCAGCGAGGAATTTTCAGTTCGCTACTGTTACAATAACATAACAAAACAGCCATAAAGAAACCAAAATAACACATAATAATCTTGAACAAAAACAAATAATGTTGATTCTCTTAAACAACTCCAATAGTTGCAGATCATTTTCGAAATTAGAAAAAAATAGTTCATTTATAACAGACGGTAAAATTACAATATTTTGTAGAATATAAACCACATTAAGGTTAAATTTTATGTTAGCCATATTTTGTAATTAAGCAAGGTTAGTTTCTTTTACTTAAAAATAAAGAAATTGTAATATGGCACAAAGGTTTTATTTATTTAAAATCACCTGCAATATCATTAAATATTTTTTTTAACAACCAATTTTTTATTATTCTATTTTTCAACTTCTATTCTTTGATACAAATAATTACCTTAATACCACTGCTTTTAAGGTATCACTTTTATATGATTGATTCTCTACGATTTGATTAAAAAATACTGAGTTCAATCAATACAAAATCATTATTGGAATTTGGATGTAAGTCAAAAAATGGTTACATTACAACAAAACGAGTGATTTATATTTACTGAACATTTAACTTTCTTGTTAGAAGTAAATCCTGTAACATCATTAAGGAAGCAGAAATAAAAATTTAAAACATTTCCGAAAAAACTTTTTTTTTTTAATTTTATCAAAAATCTGATAAAACCTAGATTTTTGACAAAAATTATTAATAAGCTTGGATTTTTTTAAAAAAAAACCTTGGATTTTTTCAAACCCCGCGACAAAATGCTAATAATCAGGACAATAATGGGACAGAATATTTTTAATCATAAAAAATCAAGAACATAAGGACAACTACTCAAGACCAGCATGATTAAATTTAATATTTTTCATAAAAGAAACAATTTTAATGGACATAAAATATGCAGTTTTAAAACTGAGATTATATGATTGCAAAATACAAAATCATTACTTGAATTTGGAAGTCAAAATTATTAAACAATATGGAATATAGTTTAGAAGCAAACTTAGATTGTATTGATAACAAATTAAAATTTACTAATTAATTCAAGGTGAACCAATTTAAATCACTTAATTTATTATTATTTTTAAAAAAGTCATTGATTTAAAAGAAAGATATTCAGAGCTCTGCATATATAATAACAGCTCTGAAATAGATAATAGGTCTGAAATAAACAATAGCTCTGAATAGATAATAGATCTGAATATCTTTTTTATTTAGGTGAGGGGTATTTGCCTGAGGCTCTGAATTCTGAGACCTCTGCGTCATGTGACAGAATTAGGTTTAAGATAATAGCAATTGGTTACATGTTGTTAAAACTGGTTCAAACTGTAAAAATCCTAAAAACGGCAGTCAGGGAATCAGAATACAAGTGCTTTTGTAAGTAAACATTAAAGTATAAGGATAAATAAATCTATGACTCTACACTAATATATTAATCCAGGCGTAAAACTCATGGAATAAAAAGTAATCAGTATTGAATTAAAGACTGTTAGTATAAAATATATTATCATTCAGTCAGCATAATTTCCGGCAACTTTTTTTTTGTCAATCTAATTTTTCTTTGAAACGAATAATAAAATTTGATATCTACTATGTGCTACTACACAACTAATTTTAAATTGTATTGTTAAATAAGTTTTCTTATAATAAAAACCTGGTTTTACACAACATAAATTGACTTATCAGCAGTCATTGGGTACAGATTTCTCCATGATTTTTAAAATCCTGCACGATTTTTAATACCATCTCTCAAAACATGAAGCTTGCATTTGAGTAATGACATATTGACACACTTAATTTGTGATGATTTTATTTAAATCCACACAGTATTCGGTTCTTCAGTAGTATTACAATGGGTTGCAGCATAAATTTTAACATCCTGACTTTTGAATAAGATAATTGTCACAGTAGCAGAATCGCGGCGACATTGTTACAGAGTTCTTGCAGAAAGACTTTTCCTTTAGAAAGTAAGAAATTTAAATTTTCTTTTCTGCAAAAATTTTCAATTTTTTTTTTCTTCTTCTATAAAATTACATTTAAAATATGCTTTTTCGCACATAAGAGGGAAAAGAAATGTTTGTATTTTTTCGATTCTTATCTGAGAAAAATGAAAAATAAAGAACACTGAAGCAAAAAATTTCTTTTCTGCAGAAATGTTACAAAGATTGTTTTCCTCCACAATTACATTCAAAAGATGCCTCTTTCATGCATCAGAGGGAAAGAAATGCTCGTGGTTCTTTTTATTCTTATTTGAGAGAAAAAAAATTGATTTCCTTTTCTTTCACAGATTTTAAGATTTTCATTTTTTTGTGTGATGATTTACGAAATGCTAAATAATAAGAGTGTTTATCTCTTACAAAATGTGAGAATATCGCCCATGATATTAGAATGAAATAATATTATATATTCATTTAAATAAAAAATATGTAAAACTTTATTACATCCAAATAGGCCCATGATTTTAGAGCTAAAAAATATTACATATTCAATTTAAAGAAATAAATAGTTTTATTTGCAAATACTATGTTTCGGTTAATTAACAACATGTATATTAGTTATTATTAAAAGTATCTTAGAAAGGCTTGTAGCAGAAAACCCATAAAAATTCTGCCAGCGGGATAATTGTAAAATTAGCAGATATTTCAAATCATACACATGCATGACTCGTAATAGGGCCATGATATTAGATTTATGTTTAACTTTGGGATATTTGTGAATGATCCCTACTATTTTAACCTTAAGATTTATATACAGTGTTTTCACTACAGCGCGAGAATCTGGCATATTTTTTTCCTTTCTCGCATTAAAAAAATTATTACTGCGAGAAATTCACGCATTTCTCGCATTTCGGAAAAAGCTTCGAATTACGCCATTTAGAATGAAATCTGTTTCACTTTTCTTCCTGGATCTTTCATTATTTTCAACATCTGTCCCGTTATCTAGCTTCCCTATTTACCAGCATTGTTCAGAACCTTTTCAAACAACAGAACACAACCACAGAACCCCTTTCAGAACANAGTTTTTGACATTTTCGACGGGTTTTTGACGGTTTAAACCAGTATTATACCCCTGTCATGTCAAAAACCACTTTTTGACATCAAAAACCCAACCCTGATTTAGAATGAAATCTGTTTCACTTTTCTTCCTGGATCTTTCATTATTTTCAACATCTGTCCCGTTATCTAGCTTCCCTATTTACTAGCAATGTTCAGAACCTTTTCAAACAACAAAACACAACCACAGAACCCCTTTCAGAACACATTGTTTACTGTAGGTAAGGTTTCCTCATGTAAGACATTCAAATTTTTATGCACTAATGTAAGATGGACAAATACCTCGTAAAGGCAAAATCTTCTATGATAATCAATATATTCAAAAATATTCAATGCTTTAAAAAATCGAAGACATTAAAAATGCATTATGATTAAAGATATGATTTTTCTTTCTTTTCAGTTTTTAGAAATCTCACTTAACTTTTTGAAATCTCACCCTGTTTTTGAGAAAGGGTGAGAAATTCTCACCCATTTTTTTTCTATGATGAAAACACTGATATATATCACAGCAAAGTTAATAATAATCCTTTATATGAAATTTATTTATGATTAATTTTAGTATTGTTAAAAAAATTAAAATAATTACATCATCCGTAATTTGGTTTGCCTTCATTTGAAGGACTTCAAGTTCGGTTGGACCACCAGCTGACATCTTCTCTCCTGTAAAAAAAAATAAATGCAATCTTTTATACAAACATAAAATGAACTAACATAATAATAAACAAGTTACATACAAAAAAATATATAGTAAAATTAAAAAAATCATTTCGTCAGAACAAGCAGTCGGTGAAATTACGCCAACAAAGTGCCTCCAACAGCACAATCTGTCTGTCATCATCAGCAATATCAAATAAACCAAAGTAACAAAAAGAACACCTTCAATTATAAAAATAGTTGTTAAGTCTTAATTTCAGTATTTATGGACTTACCTACAACATAGTTAATAATATTACTGTCATGAATTAACTATCAACACATAAAACTGGTCAATAAATGCATTAAATTAATATTTCAATATCTTTTTTTTTTAATTTTAGGAATCACATTTAAATTACAACATTTCTTTTTTTTTATTTATTTTTATAAGAAAGGTATGAAACAAAAAAATCCCTAAAATAATTTGGGAGAAATTATTGAATACACTTTTTAATATAATTCTATGAGGGGAGATTTCCATATCATGATCTGCGAGAGAAAAAACACCAAGTCTTGGAAAAACTTTTTTAAAAAAATCACAAAAAGGGACCAACTTGAAATTAGAACTCCTTTTTTTAAAAGATTTTTTACGAGTTTAATATCTATTTGGCACCTTGGCAATTATAATTGGCAAGACAGATCACAATAGGGAAATATCCCTATCAATTAAATACCGTAAGATATTATAAATGTATTTTCACACAATAAACAGAGAAGGTATTTTTTTCTTTTTATTATATAGATCAGGGATTTTCAACTGTGCGGCCCTCGAGGCCCTTTTTGTGGCCCGCGAACTAAAATATATCAGTTTTCATTGTGGACAATTTTCTTAAAAAATCCATAAGAGCTTAAAATACTTTTCTCGTCAAAAAAAAAAACTAATTTTTTTGTTATCTGTGAAATTTAACATGCCAACGGTGCAAAAAAATTTATTTCTCAGGCTTGGCATCCAAGAAAATATTTATTTAAATACAAAAATAATCGTGTATGTTGCTCTCTTTTTTTATTTCACTTTTTATACTTTTTTTTATTTTGTGAATCTAATTTAGCATGTGCGTATGAGAAATTCTCCAAATTAACTTTTTGAAACCACTCATTTTGTACGAAATTATTTACATTTATAAATTTTAAAGTGCATAAAAGAGGGAATGAACATTATGTTATATCTAAATTCCTTGAATTGAATATTATATGTAATGCTTGTTATTTCGTTTTTTTTTTTTTAAATATTAAAAAAACTTTTATAAAAATCTGACAGCACTATTTAATGTTCCTTCAAACATAAAAGAGTCCTATATAAAATTTTGATAAAGTTGTGGCCCGTCCTTAGACTGGTGTTTTCAATTGCGGCCCCTGGCCTCGTGTAAGTTGGAAACCCCTGATATAGATGCTAAAAGTAGAAGCACCATAAACATTACATTGTATATCAAACTATATAAGCCTGGAAAGACCATATTAATAGAAATGTAAAGAGTACCTATAGTTGAATTGAAGATTTCAGAAAAAGTGTGTTGTAAAAAATAGAACAGTTGGTCTAATGTTAAATCAATGTAAGTATGGAGTTTAATCAATTTTGTGTGACAGGTTAAATTTTATTTCATTCTGCTTTAAAGGAAATAAAAAATAAAGCAAATTGATTTTTTAATCCTTTTAAATATTCTGTTTCTGCAGTGCCACAAGGAAGACGATTTAACCAAGAGTAGCAAATTTAAAACACAGAGACGCCATTTTGGTAGCTTTAATCCAATATTGACTATATTAATTGGGGATGAACCACACAATAACATTTTTAATTACCTAATAGACATTAATTTTTAAAAATCAATTTAATTTTAACTCACAGCAGAATGTTTCTCATAAAACAAGTTGTAGGGTGCGGTATGGCCAAAAATGGTTTTTGCACCAATAATTCTTAATTAACTAAAACAAACTAAACAAGGAAAACTAAACCATTTAAGACACGAGATTTTAAAGATTACACTGAAAAATTTATGATAAGTTTCTTTTTTAATCCAAAAACAAATTACTGCACTTTTTTTTACTTCAAATTATACACTGTCTTTTTATTTTTTGTTCTACTCACAATATTGTGAACTTTAGAAATTTGTATTTAAGGGTTCCACTTAAATAATCATCAAAGGATGTTAAAATAGACTGAATTTTCTAAGGTTAAGTCTTTCTTTTAGCTGTTCCCCAAGAAATATGGTCACTAACATTATCTTGAGTCACTACCATAGTGATGAACTAGAAAATAAAAACTGCAAGTTTCAATGCAAAAATTAAATTATAATACAACCGGCATATGGCCCTGGGCGAATGTCTACTACTTACGATGGCTTTGGAATGTTAGAAAGCAAAGAAACTGCTATCATCCAGGTAAAATTATGATAGTAATAAAGTAAGGTAATTTTTTGACTTTGATTCAATCTACATATATTTTTACCAGCAATGACTATTCAAATTTTTGTCTAGTTATTATTAATAATAAGCATTGAAATTTAAAAAATAAAATTATGCCGTTACGTTAAATGTTGCTGCTGTCACAAATGAACACATTTTTATTCTATTAAATGATAGAAGTACTTGAATTCAACAATGAATCATGAAAACAATGATATTTCATAGGATAGATTTGAACCATAATGATAAATTATGAGCTAATATATTCGTCTTATTTTAAATGTAAAGATGTGACAATAAGGGGAGTAATTCACAGATAAAGGCATAGCACATAAACATAGTAAATTAACAATAATTAGTAAAAATGTTTCAAAACACATACAATTGATTATTTTGCCCCACAGATAAAACTACGGTGAGTCAATTAAAGGCTTTAATTTGGTTAAATAATTAACAAATACTGACTGTAAAGAATAAAATTAATATGAGAAAACAAAACACAGTTGTAGTGGTAGTAGTAATTTTACGATCCGTTTTGGGGCTCTTGTGGTTCATAAATGCGCTTGTCGCTTTTATAGATTTAAAGAGAAAAAGAACTGTTGCTTAGCAGCTGCCGTTGGTACGAAGCGTTGAAAGTTTCAAGCTTGTTTTAAATTGCACAGATATATGCAGCAGCAAGAAACGTAGCAAAACAAAAAATTTGATCTCTTTCTGATTCAAGATTCTAATTATTATTTTGTCTTTCTGAAATAAATATAGGAAATTAACTTTCCAAATAAATATAATTCCGAATTAGGATGAGTGCTCCTACTTTTAATGATGCAACTGATGCAGAGCAGGTTGAGTTTAAATTTTTTATGTATTCTGCAATCAGCATGTGGGTATAGAACTGTTTCTCTCATATTTCTTCTAATTATTGTATCTGGGTGATTTTTATTAATTCATTCGACTTTAATATGAAATCAAATTATATTATTAATTTAATTTCATATTAAAGTTTAAGAAATGTGAATCGTTTGTAACAATTGTAACGAACCTTGCTGTTATTTTTTTTATAATAAATGATATAGTAGTTTACAAGTCAAATGACACTCATGTCTTTTGAGAGGTCTGTTAAATATTTTATGCAATTATCGATATTTACTAAATTTTGCTGTAAAATTAAGTGCTTAAAGTATTGAAATTAAATTTTAAAAGAAAACTAGGTTTTAAAACAAAAAATATTGTGATGGATCTATTTTCAAGACAAAATATTGGGGTAGAATTACTTAGGAATATTTTTATATTGGTGCTAGTCAGTTTATCTAGTTTTAGTGAACAAACAAGTATTAACTATGAAATATGTATATTATTTTCTTGTATCAACTGTAAGTAGTAAACATGCAGATCAATGAACGGATGTAATTTTTGACAGGTTTTCATTATTTTTCTCTTTTTTTTACCACTTAAAGCCTAATTTTATCATGTTATGGTAAAACCAGTTATTAAAATCTAACCTTAACCATATTATTCCAAATGTTATTTGAGTGTTCCAGATATTGAAAAAGCACTTGATTCCTAAACGATCAGTTTTAAAAACCAACTCTAAGGCAGGGTTCCCACGGTCCTTGAGAGTCCTTGAAAGTCCTTGAATTTTTTTTTGCTGAATTTAGGTCCTTGAAAGTGCTTGAAAAACGTCTTAGGTCCTTGAAAAACTTGATAGGTCCTTAAATTTGTCCAAAACTGCCGGCGGCCCTTTATATAAAACACCAGCGGATCTTTCTTGTTCTTTCTGTTTTGTTCCCGAGCTCTCTCACGTGGTTTTTAACGCCACCGTTTCTAACCGGGCCTAGTGTCTTGGTGTCTGCCAAGCGCGTGGAGCACTGCAGACAATCAATGTGTTCGGGGCGAGACTCCACTTCATCTTCTGTCGCATATGCTTAGATCTTCTCTTTTCTTATCGAAACTGGAATAATTTCGAATTTCGTAACAATATGTACCTTGTAGTTTTCAATAAATTTGCCGTTTTACCNAATTTTTGACAGGTTTTCATTATTTTTCTCTTTTTTTTACCACTTAAAGCCTAATTTTATCATGTTATGGTAACTGGTTATAAAAATCTAACCTTAACCCTATTATTCCAAATGTTATTTGAGTGTTCCAGATATTGAAAAAGCACTTGATTTCTAAACGATCAGTTTTAAAAACCAACTCTAAGGGTATTACTGAATTAAAAGATTAAATCTCTTTTTCTGCTATCTATTAAATCTCTTTTTCTATTTGAATAATCTTGGAGGCAGTATTTGAGAGGAGAATTCAGATGAAGGATTTCTGGCTGATTTAGAAGATTTGATTGGCTGTTGCGAATTATGACTTCATGATGCTAATGAAGCTAGTAAAGTTGCTGCATTATTTTTCTGGGAAAAAACGAAGGATTGTATGATTGGGAGTTTTCTTTAAAGAATAATGGCTGCATGTGGCCAGCTCCAAATCTATCTTAATAAGTAAATATCTACCTGATTTTTTCATTGCAGGTCCACATATAAGTAAAACAAGTACGAGATGTTCACAAACACATTTAATAAGGAAGACACAGATAGGCAATCAAAATAAAGATACAATTCCAAGAGCTCTGCACTCTTTAAAATCATAAATCCATCTACCGGTTCAAGGTTAATGTTTAGAAGAAATTTGGTTATGTTAAGGACCCTTCACAAACTAATTTATCTTTAATCGGACCCCTCACAAATTTATTTATTTTCATTATTGTTTTGTTAATCAAATAAACTCTTCCTGGGAGAGGTGAAAGACAGTTCGAGACAAACTAAGTTTTCCTAAGTTAAAATTCCAAATGTGGTATTTTAAGAGAATATTTCTACTTTTCGTGTGTGCATTCTTATTAATATTAAATCATATTTTTTTTTATAAATAAATAATTGATCAATTTATATTTATTCATAAAATTAATTAATAGAATATTATATAAATAAAAATTAATTTCTGGCAATTTTTTAAATAAAATATTATAAATTTAGGAATTGTTTAAATTTACTTAATACGTAACACATTAAAAGTGATATGTTACTAAGTTGCATTATTTAAAATATACCAATTGAAATTATTAAAAGTGAGAGTAATTTTGTTTCCATTATTCGTTTGATATGAATATTCTGAGTTGAGCAGTATAGGCTAAATACCAAATATTTGTATGTTGCATCTCTGATTTAGTTGCAGCAATTGTTGAACTGAATCTTGTATCTATTTACTATTTAGAAACTTCTTGAAAAGGTTTTTAGCGATTTTTGCAATAATTGGTCCCTCTTTGCACAAATTCACAATAGCAGGACCCTGGTTGAGAGAATATAATTATTTTCAAACANTCTCTGATTTAGTTGCAGCAATTGTTGAACTGAATCTTGTATCTATTTACTATTTAGAAACTTCTTGCAAAGGTTTTTAGCGATTTTTGCAATAACTGGTCCCTCTTTGTACTCACAATAGCAGGACCCTGGTTGAAAGAATGTGACTTAATGCTTATTTTATATTCACAAATTATGAGTTGTTTTTTTCAAAATTTTACAAAAACAGGAGCTTTCACAAAATGTCTGGACAGACCCCTGTAATGCCTACACATGTACGCATAATTCAGAGTAAAAAAGACCACTGTCAGGGGTCTGTTCAGACATTTTGTGAAAGGTCCGTTTTTCGTGAAATTGTGAAAAAATTACTCACATTCTTTCAATCAGGGTCCGCTTTTATGAATTTGTGCAAATAGGGTCCGTTATTGCAAAAGTAAACTTTTTCAATGAGTTTTTAAATTGTAAAGACATACAAGATTATGCTCAACACTGTAAAATTATAATTAAAAAAATTAAATTTTAAAAAATAAACAACAATTGCTGCTTCTAAATTAGAGATGCAACATACAAATATTTGGTATTTAGCCTATACTGCTGAACGCAGAATATTCATTTCGGACGAATAATGGAAGAATCGTCTGCCGAAGACAAAACTTAATTCGTTTACATCCATCTTTCTTGTTTTCTGCCCAGAAAAGGGTTTATTCGATTAACAAAACAATAATGAAGATAAACAAATTTGTGAAGGGTCCGATTAGAAGAAAAATCATTTTGTGAAGGGTCCGTTTTTAAGTTAAAATATTTTGTGAAGGGTCCGTTTTTATGAAAAGATATGAAGGGTCCATTAACAGACCCAAATTTCTTCTAAACAGATCCCTGACTGTCCACACATGGTTTTATTTTTCTGAAATAACAAATGATTATATGATAGTGTTTTCTTTAAAGAATTATTAAAATAGACTCAAATTAAATTCGAACTTATAATTTTTTCTTTAAACCATTTTTTTTTCATTTAAGGGAAAAGATTGCGTTTATAATTATCATCATAATTGCATCTCATTATTTTTACTTTCTATAAATTATTCTTTACTTTTTATAATGTTTTATGGTACGTTAGCATTAATTTTAGTCTCGTGTTTTAAATTTTTTTTTATAGATAATATAATTGTTTTTAAAGCAATATGAAGCTTTTTTTTTTAAAGTCATAAACTTAGTATAAGTAGTAAAAAAATACTGTAGTCTAAAAATAAATTATTGGTATTAATTTCTTTGAACTCAGCCAACCAGCCTGTGTAGGGGCAGGGAACTAACCTTACATCAGAAAGGTTCTGGGTTTGAATCCCGGGCAAGGCATGGCTGTTTCATTCTCTCTATCTGTGTTCTATGTCCTTCTCCTTTGTGTGTGAATGTGACCAGTTAAGAGTTCCAAAGAGCTGTCACAGTTTATGTCACAAATGATTTTTCGAACAACCATTTTTCTGAAATGAAACTTGAATGATCTTATGATTACCTGATCAAGGGGTTGAATAATAGCTGTAGTGTTGGGTGGCAAAGACACAAATTTAATGTTTTTCAAACACAAGTCCTCATCAGCAGGGTGCGCAGAACAATTGTCTAAAAGTAAGACATCCTTTTCATTTTTCAGCTCCTTGTCCCATTCAAGAAGAAATTTTGTGAAGATGCTGGATGTCATCAATGCGTTATAGCTGTTGGCATAACTGGTGGGCAGGTGTTTTACTCCTTTGAAACATCAAGGTTTTAAACTGTTTCCTATCACTAAAAGTTTTTTTCTCTCAGTTCCTGTCATGTTAGCAGCATGGTTAGTCTTTCCTCTAATTTTTTTACATCCACCTGTCAATTCATTTTTAAACAGCAGTGTGTGTTCAGGAAGTGCTCAGAAAAATAATCCTGTTTCATCTGTGTTGAAAATTTGCTCTGGTTTATAGTCTTTGATGAGTGTTGGCCACACGTCATTTACCCAATCGGCAGCAGAGCTAAAATCAGCATCTTTCTTTTCACCATGCAATTTATGAAAGACAATATTACGGTCTTTCCATCGGGTTAGTCACCCATCTGTAGCTTTAAAATAAGAATCACCAAATAAGTTAGCAAAGTCCTGTACTGTGTGAAATAAAATTCCACGGGAAATTGGAATTCTTCGTTCATGTGCATTTAACAGAGCCATTTCAATTTCCTCCGATTTTCCTTCACACTTACGCTTTCTTGACAGATTTCCATTCTTTTTTATTTCCTGGGAAATATTTATCCTTTGTTTCAGAATATTGAAAAGAGCAGTTTGGGAAATCCCAAATTTAATTGAAGCTTCACGTTGACTACATTTAGGAAGCTTATCATAGTTTTGCAACACTTCGAATTTATCTTTAAGACTCAAATCCTTCCTTTTTGGTATGCTGATAAAATTTAACACCAAACGAACTTAAAAATGATATGTGCCCTAACTCAAACTATAATTTACTCAAACGGCTTAAAATGGAACATGGGCACAGACAGTTTTTGGAAATCTATTCATGTTCTCTGTTAAGATAGATGACAAAAGAAACTTCTCTCCCTTCTATGATTCATTCAATAAAAAGTAAGATTAGAATTCGACCCCCTCTTGAGTGAGATAGGTTTCTCCAAACTTCATTCAAGTCAAGGAATTGACATTGATAAATTGATTTCAATGAACTCCCTGCTTATCACCCACATTTTTCCTTAACTCTTACACTATGTACATCACAGGAAAGTGCTAACCACACCTGTTTCACAGGTTTGTGAGTAAGTGTTGCTTCTTCTAAAAAAATCTTTAAACTTCGAAAAAATAAAATTTTCTATATAAGAACAAAAAAAAGCTGAACTATTGCACTTTTGATTTATTATGTAGTCAAAATTTTGATTTTAAAAAGCAGCGGCATTGATTTTATTAAAGGATGTTTTTAACATGTATTAATATTGTAACGATTCATTTCTTGCCGATTTGATTTTATAAAGCGGCTGATTTTATATCCGGTGATTTTATTAGCAACGGGCACTGTAGTTCCAAGTGCCCGCCATTAAAAAAAATTTAAAAAATTCTTTGAACTCACTAATTCTATTAAATTGTTTCAACGATTAACCACTGCATATTATGAGAAATAATATAAAATAGAAGTAAGTAAAAAGTTTTTAAGAACTTAAATTGAAACCAATACATTAATGAATAAAAATTTACGCATCGTTTATTTGAAACATTTTAAATTTTAATTCGAAAATTAATTTAGATTGCATGGAATGCCAGATTTTCTATTTTCACTAACATTACACTTATTATTTTGGGTATGTACATTTTTCCTGCATTTATATTTTGTTTTGAAAAATGACTTAAGAGAATGCTATACCCTTAAGGAAACTTTTCATTGAAAGTTCTCTTTCATCTTCATAACTAATTTAAAATGTAGAAACATTGAGTTCAGACAAACCTAGAGTAAGTTATCACGTTTAAATTACTGAAATTTTTTTTCTAAATTTCAAAATGCAAACCAATTATTGGAAGTAACCATTGCATAAGCAGAAGTTATCTTCTCATAATTTATTTTCATTTTGATAAGTTTAATACTTTTTTACCAGTATTTGAAACTTTATTACTTATTCTAGGTTTGTCTGAACTCACTTTTTCATTTATTTAAATTAGTTATTAAGGTGAAAGAGAATTTGCAATGAAAAGTTTCCCATGTGGTATGAGGTCCTCTTAAGCGTAATTTTACATTTAATAGTATAAAAATAATTCTTGACCTTCTGTCAGCGCTTACTATTGTTTGGACCAAAGCTTAATGTTGCCTTTTACATTTAATCATGAGGTATACTCACATAACATGGTAAATTAAGAAAATATTTTTGAAGAAATTATCGAGATAAAAAACAATGGGTCCGAACCAATTATTTTCTGCTAACCTTGTGTTTCTACTTATCAAATTCTTTCCTGATAGCCTTTAAAGTTTGAGCCTATGTCAGTGATCAATTTGTTTGTCATTCATTTTATTGATGCTGAATCTTTTTTTCAGATGCAGAATGTACTTCAAACCCTCCTTTTAATGGTTCTACATAGTGAGAGTGAACCACTTATTCACACATTTTACGAAAAGCTTACAAAAGCTCCTTCCTCTAAAATGGCTGCAGTTTGACGGAAAGTGTAAGTTTTGTTTTAATGCTGAGCTCTGAATATGTTTGGATATGTATATGATTCTGAATGTTTATGTATTACTGTATCTTAAACAAGTTTTTGTAACAAATTCAGTGTGAAGGAGGATATAGACCCATACTTGTACAGTTTGTTTCTATAGTTGTGCCATTCCTTGGTTTTAAGGCCTCCTTATTTGATCCAAGTTTTTGGACGAAAATTGTTTGAAATTGAGGAAAACCTTTTTTTGTTTGGATCTTGAATTGTGTAAACTAGGGGTGCACAACCTTTTTGAATGAAGGGCCACTTGCACAGCAGGTTGACTAACGAAGGGTCGCACATGTATTTGGACATGTTATGTTAACAGCGAATGTAGTAATATTTATTTAAACATTAGTGTTCTAATTTTTCTTATCTATAAACTTAGTAATATATTTGAAGAAAAATAAAAAAATAATACTTTAAATTTTTTTTTTACAAGTCACTATATTTAACAATTCTATGTAGTTATTAGGCAAACAACTGTGATTTTAATAGTAAATTCACATTTTCGTGAATAGCACCTACACATTTTATATGGTGTTTTACCTACACATAAAATATGGATAGGTCGTAGTACAGCAAACTTAGATTTGCGAATTTTTATGTTTGGGTGCATCTGTTTTGATACTTGATATGCTTCCATCAAGGTGGCTTTGTGGGCTTTCTGTTTATTTTCTCTGACAATCATACACTTAGCTCTACCAGAAGTCTGGTAAGAAAGTTTATCAGATCTGTAGAAATTTATTACAAGCCTTTTTTGTTTCATCAGAAATTTTGTTACTAGGCTATTTCTTTTGTTTTAGTAGTAAGGTCACAGAGTATGCGGTGAGCAGTACGTTTTCTTGGAGATGCACAGTTGGCTTTTTTAATTCCTTTCCCAATGCCTAAGGAATACTATAAAGAATATATTGTAGTTTACAAATCACGCATTGCGATTCACAAAAGAGAGATCTAAGAATTAGCACTCGCAATTCTCATCAAAATGATTTAAGAATCACACATAGCTGTTCTATATTAAATTCTTTTGAATCACAAATTGCAGTTTTCCTCATAATGTTTAAAATTCACATGAAAACTCTTAGCTAACTCTTATCACACATTGTGATTTACGTCTTGTTAGTTTGTGCATTTTGTATCATTTGCTATTCATGTTGTTCCAATTTAAGAAACATATACCGCAATTCAATTTCAATTTACCTATCATACATATAGTATATCTAGATTCATATAAATGTGATTTAAATTTCAGCTTAGTGAAAAGTACACATATTCACAAAATTTGAATAATCATTCTTCATATTTTATGGATATATTTTAAAGAAAACAAAGCTTGTTAAGTTTTAGTTATCTGTAAAATATTGTTCTACAATAGATTTTATTATGTTAAAAATACATTACTGATATTCTGAAGTAACAAAATAGATAATTTGTTATAAAAATTGAAACAGATATGTAAAATGGATATATTTTGATATTTTATCTAATTTTATATATTTCCTCCTGTAACCTAAAATTTAATCTAACATATTCGAAAATAGTATTTATATTTTAATAGCAATACAATCACACAAANTAATTTGTTATAAAAATTGAAACAGATATGTTAAATGGATATATTTTGATATTTTATCTAATTTTATACATTTCCTGTAACCTAAAATTTGATCTAACATATTCGAAAATAGTATTTATATTTTAATAACAATACAATCACAAATGTAATATGCATTATTCAATAATTCAGTTTCATTAATTCTAATTCACTTCATTAAATTTTTTATGAAGATTTCATGTAAATTTTGACAATTAGATGGGAATGTTGTCTAAATATCACCAATACAGTCATATATCATTAAGAAAATTACATAAAACTCTTTTTTTTTTAACTATTCTGGTCTAAAATAATAATTTAGACTGTTTCAGATTTGAAAGAACTTGCTATTGTCTAATTATTTGATTTTCAATTTATGAATAATTTAGGAGATTAGTATTTAGTTGTAATATTTTTCAAATGTGAGTTTTGAAAAACAAAAGGAAAACTAAAACAAAAAATATCTTTTCATTTTTATTATTAATATAATGACTTGTGTGTATGTTATGTTCAAAATTACATTTGTTTTATTCCCCCCAAAGTGATTTTAAATTCTTGCTATATATAGTATATTATTTACAGTCTGTTTTATCTATATGTTATACTAGCATCTGTATCAATTCAATAGAAATATAGATGTTTGCTAAAAAAAAATATCATGCAAAATATTTAGACCTTGTTTAGCTATAATCTTTTTTCAATTTATTAAACTTATTTTTAATATTACAACATGGTGCATAGCATTTTTAAAAGGTGCTTATTTTCGTTTTTTAAAAGCCCTTTAAAGGTGCTTTTTTCATTGGGTGTTTTTAAAAAGTGCTTAATTTTCCCTTTTCCAAAAGAATTTTTTTTTTACCATGTCAATTTTCACCACGTAATATGCAAAAGCATGATTTTTCACATTGTTCAATTCAGCGTTTTCACAATTCATTCAATCCCAATCTATTTTAATGTACGGTTGATCCATAGCGCATGAAAGTGCTTATAATTTTACAGGTTTGGTGAAATACTTGGGAGTTCGCATGGTTGTGTACTGAGTTGGGTTCGGTGAAATTATTGCATTATTATGTGCAACTCTACTGCGTTTTGTAAGATATTCTCAATTTCATGCTTTATTTTCTACCCTCTGAAATCGGACCGAAAAATCTGTGAATCATTTTTTAATGGCTAATATAATTAAGAAAAGAGTTCTTTGACAAAAACTAGTTATTTTATCATGATCATGTAAAGTCTTTGAAAATTATTTTGCATTTTGTTAACGTATATAGTGCTTAAAAATATTTTTAATGGTGCTTATTTTTTGTTGCAAGATTTGGCTATGCCCCCTGTACAAGTTATCCACAGTATACTTTTGCAATGTGCAGTTACAGAGAAAAGAAGTCGGAAGCTGCGGAAATGATGCAGCTGGATGGATATACTTTAGATTATGTTGAACTAGTGCTTGGTAATAAATTTTCTATGTTTCACTTTATTTACTTGGTTTTCTAGTTTGTATTTAATTTATATGCATAAACTCCAATAACGAAACTTTTATATCTTACAAATTATTCTAAATAATTTGTACAACCAATTTGATAGACCTTTAACTGAAAGGAAAAAAAGCATATCACATGATTATTACACTAAACAACTAATCAGAAACAATTAATAAGTCGCTTCAACAAATGGCAGATTTTTAGACTTTAGCGATTAAAACTCAACATAAGTCTTGATGGATTTTTCTTATTCTGGTTTATTTTGAATATAGAATTTTATATAAATAATCAGTGCTGAACTGCACACTCAGAGGCTGTGGTGGTCATAGTGTAGCTGAACAAATATGAACTCTAGTAGAAAACAAAATTGTTTTGGGCCATCAGGGATATGGATAATCAGACTGTATTTTTAAAATTATTTTTAGAAACATTTTATTTGTAACTATTGTCCCATATGTAAACTACATTGAATTATTTTACTTACTTTTGATATTAAATCTGACCATTTTGTGATTAAAAAAATTGATATAAGTGTTGTTCAATTTGATTTAAACTAATAAGATTGGTATAAATTTTTTATTTTTTTATAACAGTCTTTGAACCGCCGGCCCAAATTTTTGGGTTCTCGAATACTAATATTCAACACCATAGCCTTATAATTTTGAACCAATCCAGACGATAAGGAAACTCCCCAATCAGTACCCTCAGAGGAATGGTTTGTTATGAGAACATGGAGGACTTTGTGACTCGACAGATTTAATGTGCATCAGTCACCGTCGGAGATCGAACCCGTAACAAAAAAAAAATGGATATTTTGCCTCCTTCAACGTTTAGAGTTAATATTTTGGAGAAAGGACAGAAGTCCTTCCCTATTATTTTAAGATAGTTCTCATTCCACAAAAAAAAATTTTAATTTTTGTATCTACTGATGAGATAGATTTTAAGCAAGTTTTGATACAAAATACAGTAAAACCTCGTTACTTTATTTCTTTGTCTCTACTCTGTCAGGTAACATAAAAATGTTACCTGAACACTTATGTTTTCCAAGATTATGACCATTTAACTCCTTTACTTTAATATGAAACTGAGAGTGTTCCCCTTAAGCTATGATACTTTGCTTGGAAATAAATGGATGAAATGTTAAAAAAATATGCCTTTTTCAATCGTTTTCTAAATTTAATGGTTAACTACAGAATAAACTTGATTACTTATCTTGTCTTAAACCGCCTTATTTTTGTTTGTGAAGAATTGGACGAAAATATTATTAGAATTTTTTATAAATCTTGTGGTGACTGGTGGTTATTTTTATCAAAAAGAAAAATAAAACAAACAATATTTATTAAATTGAAAACATTATTATAATCTAAGATATATAATACTCCAACTTTATTGGTTTCCATTAAACTGAACACCTTTGAGAAAAATATTATTCAAATTAAGAGATGCCACTGCCATGGGTTTACAGAGTTAGGATTTGGGTTATGGTTTAGGGTTTTGTAAAAACTGAATTGTAGAGTATAATTTTGAATAAAACAAGATAAAACAATAACGATAAAACAAGCAGAATAATTTAAATATCAAAGTCAGAAAATATTAGAATGCTTATAAAAACATACTGAAAAATTATTTTTGTTGTATGAAACTGAAGTATGAATTATTTGTTATATGAACTGAAGTTTATAGTTTTAAACTGTACTATGAAAATCGTTCACAACAAGAAATTCATTTCCCACAAACATCACTCATCAAGTAAAAAAACTCATTGGAAGTAAATCTCTGTTTCAGAATACTTTTATTTATTTTAAACAGTTTTTGTACGTTTTAAACAGTTTTATAAAATGTTTTATGATATCTAACAAACCAGTGGTCCAATTTATGAGAATTTTCTTCAGACTATTACAATTCATTGTGTGAATTATGCCTGATTTATGTATGAAAAATGTTACAAAAACTGTTCATTTTTCATATATAAATTATTTGTAAGGAAATTTATAAGAATAAATTTCCTTACAAATTTATTTTTTCGATAAAATTGTGCAATTTTTTAAATAGTTATCCAAAGGAAAGCAAAATTTAACTTCGTAAATCCAAAAAATTGCCATTGAAAAGTTAGAATAGAATTTTCACATGTTACTAATTAAATAAAAATATTAAATTATAAGCTTATGCTTACTAAAAAGAGACCTTTGGAGTAGTCTTATGTATGAGATGAAAAATATCAAAATTAATTTTATTCTGGAATTCATTTGTAATGAATTTTGAATAATCACAAATATGACTCTCTTGCACGCAGGGACAGATGCTTCTCTAACTACGCAACTGCTCGGGATGATAGCTTAATATTTTTAAAATAGTAAATAATTGATTTCCTCACTATCAATTCAAATAGTTGATTCAACAATTTTATTCTCACTTAAATATATATTTTTAAAAAATTACCATGAATTGACTGTTTATTTACAAAATAAACCTGGTTTAGGTTTCTTTTCTAACCCCACACCTCTTTAGCTATTTTTGAAAAGTTTTGACACAAAAATATAATTATAGAACCATAATTCTCTTCTATCAATTCTAATATTTTTTTTCTTTTCTAATATTTAGGTTATATTCTTGGGAACCTTCCGCCTGAAAAGCATAACTTGGTAACTTTGAAGGGTCTGTTCTGGTATGCATTCTCACTATCATTATTAATTGATGTTTATTTGAAATTTAGTTTGTACTTCGCGGAATGATTGCGGAGAGGCTAACTGCCAATGTTTTTAGTTCTAATTATTGATTTATCTAAATTTCTTAAAAGCTATTTAAAGATCTAATCAAGGAATGAAACTAATTTACAAATTCAGAAAAAGACAAAATGAGTAAGTAACATTTTAAATAATAAATCAAAGTGGAAAAGCACTTAAAGTTATATTGTGATGAACCTTTTAATGATGAACAAGATTAATTAAGTGTGGTTTTATTTAATGTGGCCTTTAAGTGTTGGTTTTTATTTTTAATCCCTTTGTGCCTTATTTGCAAAAAGTCGAGCAGTCGGAGCAATGATTATGTTTTGTAATTTACACAAGGTATATTTTAGATATTTTTATTCTCTTCATTTTTGGTACAAATCCTTAATAAAAAATAAGATTGAATGAAATAGTCAGTGCCAACATTCAAGATTATTAATAAAAAGATTACAAGATGTGAGCCTCAGATTGCATTTAACTAATTAACCAGTGTATGTGAGAGCGTTTGAATTGAATGTAAAGTCTTCTAAGAAAAAGAGTGCATCTCCGATTGCTTATAAATAACTCACCAGTTTGTGTTAGATCACAAATAAAGTTTTATGTGAATGGCATGTTCTGTTAAGAATTAATTTTGAACTTGATACCATACAGTGTGCCACGCCACTTTCACAGGATGCCATGGCAAGCAGTTTGATGACCACTGCTACAAAAAATTTAAAAAAGTGACTTAAAACTACTTAATTACTTAAAAATGTAATCATTTTTTGATGTCTCTGTGTTGATTCAAACACTTTAAGTTACTAACCAATTTGTATTAGAGTATAAATAAAGTTTCGTGCGAATGGCATGTTGTGTTAAGAATTAATTTTAGACTTGAAATGGTGGATGCCACACTCACAGGATGCTATGATGAACAGTATAACCACTGCTGTAGTGTATCTACCACTACAAAAATGCAATTTCAATTCACTGGTATATAAAACATGTTAACTAGATTCTATGTTAGGGTACCTATGCATAGATGAAGGTTTACATTGTCAATAACTACTATTCCCACGTTTGTGACCCGGACGTGATGTGAACCCACCTACCTTGAGAGAAGCTACCACTTCGATACAAACATGCCTACTTCGATGGATGATTCACATTGAACAGTTGACTTGCTACTTGTGACATTCTCTACCTCCTCACGCTGTTGCTACTCAGTCTCGATCATACGCGTCTTTGGCCTGACTGCTTATGGCAACACAAAAGGACCACGACCGTGAACTTAATACAGCTCTCACGATCAGCTGTCAAAAAGTACGATGATCTTAATACAGCTCTCCCGGCTTCTCACGAAATAGCGATTAATCAACTAGGGGTATCCGTTCATCGAATTCTATCACATATATAATTCTGGTGGAGGGAGTACTGTAGTGTATCTACTACTACAAAAATACAATTCCAATTCACTAGTATATAAGACTCGACTCTTTGTTGGGGTTCCTTTTTGGTAGATGAAGGTTTACATTATCGATAAATATATCCCCACAACTGCTGTAAAAAACTCAAAACTACTGAATTACTTGAAAGTGTAACCATTTTTCGATGTCTCTGTGTTGGTTCAACCACCTTAAATTTACATTTTGTTTATTTTCAGCTCTTCTAGTACTGTTGAAAGATCAATCTCCAGATGTGAGAATCAGAGTAGCTGAAGCATTGAGCTTATTACACCATTATTGAGTTTAGACGACTTCCTTTGTTTGTTCTGCCTACAAGAACTGAAGAAAAAAATGTGCTTGCAACCTTTTTTTAAAAAAAAACAACACAACAACACATTTATACATATTTATATACAGTTTTCAATGTGTTGTGAGATTATTGTTAGAACAAGGAATGCCAATATTATAAAAACTTTTATTATCTGTTTATTACCCAAAATATTTAACAACTATGTGAACAGTTAATTTTTAATGTTTTACAATTTTGTATTAATTATTTTTATTGCATTTTTTGACTGGTATGGTTTAATGTAAAACATACTATGAAGGCAAATGTAACTTATTTGTTACTTTATAATTGCAAACATAGTTACATAACGTTTTAAATATGTTTATTATTAAATGTTTTACACATCTAATTTTAAATAATTTTTGCATAATAATCAAAATTTATGTAATAATGGCAGAGCAGAGAAATAAAGTATAATAAATAAATATAGCTTTAAAAGGTTATAGGTTGTAAATACAATTAGATAAAAATACAGAAGAAATATTTTACAGGTACAAAATGCCTTCAAAGCTTTAATATTTTGCCAAAGGCAACTAAGAAAATCTAAATCATTGTTAGGTAAGAATCATGTTACAATCAATAGAACAACGAGCATAAGTTTGACCATCAAGATTCTATGGTATTTCATTCAATTTGGTTGATTAAATGGAACACTGATTTATACATACATATTATACATATTTCAATTATACATAGATATTAGTTTATTAGACAACTGTGTTTCCTTTTCTCTATGAATAATAATTATATATATATTAAAATACTTTTGATTTTTCTTCTTCATGAAACTGGAGTGCTTTATGCTTACCATAGAGTACCTTATACCTAAACTTTCCTGAGATAATGGGGTGCTTACCAAAATACCTAAGGGACCATTGTGGCCCCTCCTGTCATTCTAGTTAAAAGTTCTATATATACATACATTTCTATTAAGCTAACTCATGAATGATTAAATGAGCTCTTAAATTGGATCAAATTATGAAAAGTCAGAAGTACTCAATATTTTTAATAAGTTACTTTTTAAATTACAGAGCAACAAAATACCAGAGTGGTATTTATTAAAATTGCGAGTGTAAACAATGAAAACTGCAGCTAAGAAATTTTTGAGAAAGCAAGAACTATTAACTTTTTAAATTATTTCTTTTTTTTTTTTTTTTAGAGGTTGCAATGTCAGAAGCTAAGCAAACCAAAATTGATTTTAAAAAATTTATTATTAATTCTAATGCTCTATAAAATTTCTTTCTTTTTCTTTTTTTTTTACTACAAATAATAAATACAGTACAGAACCCGTTATCCGGAAATCGGAAAACCGGAACGAAATTCGTTAAATTTTCCCGCCATTTACGGCTTTTTGTAGCGATTCAGAAAACCGGAAAAATCAGTTATCCGGAATAGTGATGGTCCCGATTGTTCCGGATAATCGGTTCCCTGCTGTACTACATATTTTTGGGATTTTATGTGCTTGCTACTAAAAATTATTTTAAAACGTTTTAAGATTATTTTGCTCTAAACAAATATTGGCTTGTCTAATTGGTAGATTTAAAAATATGTAAAATGATGCTAAGTCTCTCGTTTCAATGATAGTGTTAAAGATTTTTCTGTATAAAGAAATAATTCCTTAGACTCTCTTTTAGATGTAATTCCTTTCCTTTGTCTACTGACTAACCCTCTTGATTTTTTTTTTGGGGGGGGAAGTCATCTTTGTTTCTCGCTATCACAAAACAAATTTTCTTCAAAGAAAAAATCATTCCATTAAATGTTCTTTAAATTTCTGTTGTTGTGTTTAAAAAATAGGGCCAATCTGTACTTCAATGCTAATGTTTGCTTTACTTGTGAATAACCAGTTGTGTTTTATTAGTTTGCTTCTTTTTGTCTAATTTTCTTTTAATATAATTTTTGAAGAATTACAATAAAAACATATTATTTTTCTTACAGTATAAAGCATTTATTTTCTTTATGTACAAACATGACGAGATGTTATTTGAATTTTTTTTCCTTAATTTTACGACATATGTTTTTCTTCATGAATCATCTGCTGAAAAAATATATAATTTTTTTTTTGCTTCATATTCAATGACTGAATTTAAAGTGTTAATATATTCCATAAATTACCAATCGTTTTATCTTGATGCTCGCTTCTTTATCTCACTTTTTTTTAATACAAGTTTTGCAAAATTATTTTTAAAAAAACTTTCAATTTCTGTTACAGTTACAAAACGCTTAACTTTTAGTCTATACCAATAAAATCTATAGCAGAAATGAAACTTTTTTTTTCTTTTTTAAAAATTTAATAAATATATAAATTTAGTTATTCCTGGTGGGAATTTTAACTCAATCAGTTTGTAAATTATTCCAATGCGCCAAACTCTATGACACGCATTACTGATGTCAAGCATTAACATAGCTGAAGTCTATTTTAAGTGTAAGCCTCTGCGAATTTTATTTTTGAGGTGTTAACCCACATTGTTCATCTGGTAAACATGAAAGACAAGGTTTTAATTAATTGTAGACTATTCTCTTCAAACGTGCAAAGCAAACTTATAAGTTGATAGCTGGAAGGTAATAGTAAATCTTTGTTTGCTTTAGATTAGCAGTTCCCAATATTTTTCGACTACGGAACCCTAAATAATTAACCTTCTTTCAGCAGAACCCCCAACTTTATAATTAAAGTTAATAAAGATAATAGTGAACCTTGTAGTCTATTAAAGACTATTTTTAAAATATTTTATTATTTTTAAATATTTTAACATTTTTTTTTGTGATAACATCTAAAAATTGGGAGAGATAAAGGACTCCGACCTCAATATGAATAATATAAATACTGTGTTGTTCTTAACCAATATTAATGATTCTAAATTTCTCTTTATAATTTTTTATTCTTTCTGAGTTCTTTATAATTTGCAATTTTAAAACTTATACGCACTAAGAGAATAAAATATCCCTTATCCAAGCAGTAGAGTTAAAAGAATAAAATTTCACTTATCATAGTAGGAAAGAAAGTAAGGAGAATAAAAGTAATCAGTATTGAAAGAATAAAAATAATCAGCAGTATAAGAATAAAATTTGCCCTACCACATTGTAATAACGGTTAGATAATAAAGGTAATCAATGATAAGAGAATAAAATTTTCTTATCAGAGTAATAAGGGGATAAAAATTAAGTAATCAGTGATAAGGGAATATAATTTCCTTTAACCTAAAGGAGAACAAATTTCTCTTATTAGTGGTAAGAAACTAAATTTCCTTTATTGCAGTATTATGGGAAAAAGGATATATTTTCCTTTGTTATAGTAATATCCGAAAGATAAAATTGCTTTTAACTTAGATAAGGGTAAGAGAATAAAATACCTTTATTACAGTAGTAG